TTTTCATTGTCTAGCATACGTATACACCCGGATATTATTCGTTTTGTTATTATAGAAGAACACTGCAAAATTAGGTTCCGAATATTGAAGATATTAGAATGAAACAAAATAAACTTGTATAAACTCCGAATTTCCAGAAAAAACTAAACTCTGAAAATACGCTCCCAATTAGACGAAAACTAAACTCCGCAAACACGGAATTATAGAGATTAGGTAATCCTAGCGTTAAAGTAAGCAACAACCCTGAAATATGCGAGGGGTCCCCACTCAGGGTCAAAAAGTGCTTCTCGCTTAAAAGTGCCCTGCAACGACTTTTTGAATGGTTTTGATTTGCACCGAACCTGAGCGCTCTGAATGTTGTAACTTAATTAAACATTTCTGGAAGTTCGCTTTATTTCTAAAGTTGTAGGCTAATTTATATTACGAAAACAAGCGAAAATTAACCTCCTTTATCATTTAATTGGTCCTGGCTTGAGTGGCCGTAAACTAGAGGAGGGTAGTGAGCTCAGCGACCGCACACGGCTGCCGCACTCTATGTCGATGGCTCGAGAGGGCGCCACTACAGCATGTCCTGGATAGGCTTGATGAAGCGGGCGGCCAGGGCGGCTCGCATTGCATTTTCTGCGTGACTAAAGATTAATTCGGTATGACAATTCATTGGGCACAAATAAAAAAAAAACACAGGGTAAAAATTAGTTCAGAACATTAGCCACTTCACGCAGTCAAACCGCCAAACGGCCAAACCGCAAGCCAAACCTGCTCGCGGAAGTTTTTCGCAACGCTCGAAATTGGTCGGATCCTCCAGCCCATATGACCGCAGCGCCGTGGCGGACATCCGGGACCTTTCTGCGGTCGCTGCTTGTCGGTGGCTGATCCCACTACATTTTTTTCAGTATGACCCGCTTTTTCCACCACGTGGTGGAGGGTATGTTGACGAGTCATTTTTTGTTTCTGCACTTCATAAACTGCATTTGTTTCTTTTAGAGCGCAACTCTTAGGCGCCCGTTTCCGGCTTGAGCGGCGTCTGCGTCGCCGTCGGCGTCACCGTCGCCGTCGCCGTCGGCGTAACCGCGCGGTGCATTATGGGTAAATTTTTCCGAAGGGACCCGAGGACTCCCGAAGGAACCCGAGGTCGTCCAGAGAGTCGGGAGGACCTCGGGTTTCTTCGGTAGGACCTCGGGAGTACCTCGGGTTCCTTCGGGAGTTGCATGCAACAGGTTACATGCAACCTGTTGCATGCAGCTGGCATACAACGATTTGTATGCAACCTGTTGCATGCAACCTGATGACGATGACGTCATCAGGTTGCCTTGACGTCACCTTGACAATGGCGATTTGATGACGTCATCAGTGACGTCACTGATGACGTCATTGGCATCCGCATCGTCATCGTCATCATTACTGATGACGTCATTGGCATCCGCATCGTTATCGTCATCATCACTAATGACGTCATCAGTGACGTCACTGATGACGTCATCAAATTGCCATTGTCAAGGTCACGTGACCCCCAGGTCACGTGACCCCTGAGGTCACGTGACGCCCTGGAGTCACGTGAACCCCCTCAGGTCACGTGGCCGCCTGAGGTCACGTGATTCTCCTAAGGTCACGTGACCCCCCTCCCTCGAGGTCACGCGACCCCCTTGACGTCACCCGACCTCCCATGAGGTCACGTGACCTCAAGGAGTCACCTATCCCTCAATACGCTTCCATCCTCCTCCTCAAGAGCTGCGCTCCAACCGGCGTTACAGGGAATTGTAAACGGCTTTTTTTTATCTAAAATACTGAACAAAAAAGGTACACGCTTAAATAGGATCCAAGGCCCCTTTAAGGCAGGCCAGAAAGACATAACGCGCATTGCGTACACACTGTAAAATTTCAAACCCATGAGTACTAATTCTTCTTCCACAAATCCATTCCACTTCTCTGATTTCTCAAAAACTACACACGGATCTGGTTGCAGGAAATTTGTAACAACATTCCGAAATAATAATGAAATTACGGCATCATGTTTTCCCATACTTGTTTGCTTGAGCTATCCTAGTTCGACGTGTCTTAATCGCACTACGAAATCATCGACAGTTTATTGATTAAATGTTACAGTACAGAAGAACCCCAATTTTTTTTTCTTTTTTAGAACTAAACCATTTTTTATGACACTTAACAGAGACAAAGAGTTTTTAACATGACATAGCGGAGTGCATGCACAAAAATATTTGCGATTTAAAATAATTTGTTAGTGCGAATTATACTAATGCTTAATTCATATAAGCTGCTTCGTCATTCCTACTTTTGCAATATCATGCATGCCACTCGCGAAGCAAGTTGCATTATAACATTATATTGATGAATTATGGACTATACCTGTTTAAATGTTGAAAAACACCATAGGCTTAGAGATTACACATTCTTTTAAGCTTGACTGTTGTAATTCTACGTATTATCTTCTCATTTTGTTCTTACACAATCAAGTGAAACCACCAAATTAAATCCTTGTATAAATAAAGGAGAAGTGTTTTATTATCGCGGTTAGATTCAAGCATTTGTGCCTGCTTGAAGTACGCTTGTTATTTTTTTACATATTTTTGGTATGCTTAAGTTGGGAAAGTCTCCATTTTAAAAGCTACACAACACCCTCACTTTCGTTGACCCACCGCAGCCGAAATCATCATTTACATCTGGAAATTATTAATAAATATGTACCAAAGTTGAAAGCTGGGCTAGTTTGTGTAGGCTAAACATAATATAGGTAAAACAGCGCAGAATTACAAAAATTAGAAGGAACAACAAAGAGTGAACAGCCACTGACTTGCAACTATATGTTTTATTACCGAATATATATATAAAAAAAAGTAAACACGTAAGGCAGCATTTTACAGATGCGCCAACATTTCTGCCTCATAACAAACGGCATCGGTCATCCACGTGCCGCGTGCTCGCAACCGTTCTTTTTTTTCTTTCATTGTTGAAAACAAAAACAACACCTGTTTTACAGACAGCGTCATGGACGGCTCGCTGATGCACTGCGCTCGCTTTGCGCTATGTAAAAAGTATCTAACACCTCGCTCGTAAGCTTGTCTTTGTGCCTATCTACAAGCGTGGTCTCTTCGAAGGACGGCTTGCACAAATAGCTCTTACAGTGCTCCGCCAAATGCCCTCCGACTGCGGTTCTCAGTGAGTAGCTGTAATCCCTGAACCTATCATTTAGGCACCTCTCCATTTGTCCAATACACACTTTACCGAACGAAAGGGAAACATTGTATACCACTCCGGAAACACAGCTCGCAATCGGCTTTGCTTGTTTTTATTGTACACTTGCTTTATGACACACTTGCCTTTCTACCTTGGCCCTTACCCTCGAACATATCTGGCTCAACTTCTGAGGGGTGGTGGGGGCATCAGTTTCACGTCGGGAATCCCCAAGGAGGGGGTCCTGTAGTTTTTGGACCTTTCCCTTTCCTTCGGTGGCAGTCTTATCTGCTGGGCGTACAGTCCTCGGTCAAAAAATGCCATCTTAGAATACAGGTCAGCCTACTTAAAGTTCATGAAAAGGGGCATTACGATTTTGTGCTTCGACGCGGCCCTAAACAAGTCCTGTGTCCAAACGTTGCACTAGACGATTTTGGCGCAGTTGATTAGGCTAAGATACGCTGAGTTTCCGCGTGCTGTGTTGCGTGATGCTGCCGGCACCCTTGTTAAAAAAGGTAAAATAATCCTCTCCCCCTAAAAAAGTGGTGGACGGGCCAAGGACTGTCGTCATTTCATACCGGCAAAATGTCTATCAAATTTTAAAAAAATAATAAGTTGGTACAACGTCCCTGTGGTGCTTTCCTCCCCTCAGAAGGGAATCCAGATATGTTCGAGGGTAAGGAACAACGTGAAGGGGCTGTCATAAAGCAAGTGTACAAAAAACAAGCAAAGCCGATTGTGAGCTGTGTTTTCGGAGTGGTATACAAGGTTCCCCTCTTGTGTTGTAAAGTGTATATTGGACAGATGGGGAGGTGCTTATATGATAAGCTCAGGGAGCACAACTATTCACTGAGAGCCACGGTCGGAGGGCGTTTGGCGGTGCACTCTAGGAGCTGTTCGTGCAAGCCGTCCTTCGAGGACACCACGCTTTTAGATAGGCAGAAAGACAAGGTGACGATGGAGCTGATAGAGGCTTTTTACATACCGGAAGGCGGGGTGCAGTGGATCAGCGAGCCATCGGTGACGCTATCTGTGAAAGAGATGTTGTTTTTGATTTTAACAATGAGATCAAAAGGGAGGGGGGGGGGGAGCACGTGTCACGTGAATGACCGGTGCCTTATGTGATGAGGCAGAAAGTTGGGAGCATGTGTAGATTGCTGCCTTACGTAATACCTTTTTATGTTTTCTGCAATAAAACCTTTAGTTGCGAAGCAGTTCCTGTCCCACCTTGGGTGACCCTTACTTCTAATCTTTGTCTTTCTGGGCTGTTTTATCGACATTATGTTAATAACTATGGTTTCGTGTTTTGTTGCACGCCAATCAACCATGAAAAGTAACCGCCGATCCGGCCTCTTATTTGTTAGTCCTGGAAAACCTAACATACCAGAATCGCACTGTTCTTGCATAAGAAACGCCCAGCTACATGCGAAAAAAGATTGTATCTTGGTTATATCTTGTGTTTACACAAAACTTCACCCAAACTAAATTGTCCTCGAGACTACATTGGTAATCATGTTTTATCTCATTTTTTTTTTTGTATTTTCGCCTACGGGTTATGTTTATCAAGTTTTCGGATTATGCGCATGCTCTCTAGATTTTGTTAAATGTCATTCCCGTTCTCTGGATTATACTATACAAACCCTGTTAAACAAAAATATTTTTGCTGCACCGAAACTTTAAAAAATTACTGAAAACAAGTGTCATAAACATACCAACACTTCGTATAAAAATCAACCCAGAAAGCACAGAACCTCACAAATCAGCGAGTACGGAATGTTGACTAACCTCCACGCACTGTTTTGATTTTGCAGCGCCTTTTCCTGAAGACATCGTATATCCAAAGTTGCTCGAGACAAGAGGAATAAACGGAACAAAATTATTGCACATTAAAGAGGGACTGACTCTTAGTTTGGAAAAACTATCTGTATTGGCAGACTCACTCGCTTTTACTGACAGTAATGACGGAGTTGCAACTGAAATAATCGTAAGTTTTTTCACGAAAGAAAAAATTGCATATTTGGCATTATGAACCTCGGATGCAGTTCATATCAAAGAGGTTTTATCTCACTACCAGAGTGCCTGGTCAATCAACAAACCTAATCACAATAGGGACCCTCGAAACGACGGTGTAACGGAACAAATCTCAGACGGGGCCTCTATGGGGGATGCACACTAACTAATGCTCGCATCAAAATATTTAACGCCATAAAACAGTCTTCACTGTGTTGCCGACGTTTTAACAAACAACATGTATATTGCACCGACATCCGCATTAATACTTCGACGACGCCGACTGATAAATTGTGCAATACTGGGAATTTTGAAACATATTTATATTGAATCGCCAAGCATTTTTTTAACAACCGTAAAATAAAACAGTCCGTAATTAACACGTTATTTTTTATTTTAAACGCAGTGTTGGACAACCCTTAATATTTATGTGCGTTGTCAGTTATACATATGTTTGCGCGCCCAGTTGAGGTCGAGTTTGCTGTTTCTGTTATGCATGCAAATCCAGCCAGATAGGAACGTTTAATTCATGAAGAGTTAAATAAAAAAAAATAAACTCATAAACGTGCAGATGACACAGATCTAAAACAATGATTTCTGTTTGTCACTGTAATCATTGTTACGATCTTATTATTTCTTTGATTATGCACCGACTCGCCGATTTTCACACCTTATCACAGTTTGTTTAAGAACTTTACAGAATTATATTTTTTACTACATGTACCACAGAAATTGCCAGTTCAGAATAGAGAGACATATTGGGCTGCAATAGGGACAGACATATAAAAAAAAGTTTTTCGAGTACCGGCAGAAATACGAAAACAGGGACAAGAATATATATTTCCAAGCACATTGCATCCCGTTAAAACTTTCTATCATTTGCTGTAGATGCTGAACACGTTGTTTACAATTTAAAAGTACGGGCAACTGATCCCCAGTTGTTTCCACCGTACCCATCTCTTGTTAAGCGTCGACCATATACAGCGATGAAAAACAACTCCTATGCATACTTGTACAGTTCTTTAACAGCTATAATGTTTGGCTTCTTTAACAATAATATTCTTGTAGTGCGATGCTCAATACTTAGTTTGAAATAAAGTTTCTGAAAAGTAGTCTGTATGTTAGCGTATCCTTGTAGCTTTCCTTTACAGTGTCGAAATATAATACTGGTGTGAAACCTTGATGACACTCGAGCATTGCTGTTTTAGTCATGAAGCTTGTGAAATGAAATTTTTATTTTTATGCTAAAACAAAAGAGAGTTTTGAAAAATGCGTAGCTCTTTGGTCTGTCTAAGTAAGGTCATGCAAGCGTGTACGGTTAAAATTTTATTTTTTTATAGTTTTAGTTGTTAATTTTCAATGTATGGAGAAACTGATATCACAAAGATCTCAAGAAAAAGAAATCAAGGCTGCGTCAAAGCGGCAACACCCTTTCGGCGTTCTGTAATTTTCTGCAAACTTTGACGTGTTGTCAAACTTTGCAGTATCTAAAGTATTAAAAGATCTACGATACGCAAATAAAAAAGGTCAACTATTTTATTGCGAAAGGTGTTCATTGTGCTAATACCCACAAATATTCTTACGTAGGATTGTAGAAACTACAAATCGCGCTTCAAAAATGCAGGATCCTTGTAATTCTGACTTTTTTTCTTTATACTTGTGACTAATAATACCGTTTTGCTTTTTTAAGATATGGCATTTGAACTTTCTCCTTATATAATACATATAATGGTCTATCATTTTTTAATGCTTTGGTGCTTTATTTTATAAAAATATTATTTACAGCGCTTCACACCTGTCTTATTGTAAACTTTACTCAACTTCAACGTGCAATAAACTTTTTGTTTTAATAAGCCGAAATGCTTTACACAATATCGCCTAGTTTTTAAGGTTTTTTTTATTGAAACAATGAATTATGTTTTTGTATAAAATATTGCGCTCATAATGGCAGATATTTGCCTGCTTTTACTGTTTTACTAATATTGGTGAGCTGTTCTCTCGTAACGTCTTTAAGCTTTACCGTTCACTTTTTTCATATATTTTTTATAAGTATATAACATCTAGCGATAAAGTGTTTCTCTAGTTTATAAATAAAACTAAAGATGGCGAATAAAACATGCCTAAAGATAAGAACTTCTGCAAATTCAACGTAATATTTAAAAAAAAAATTTAAAAAAAACAACGCGATGTCTTACCGTGAAAATGCATTGCATTATTTTGTCTCGTCTAAATTAGAATGCTTCAATATCTGCCATCATGATCAAATTTAGCGGAAACGCTGGACCGTGTAACACCGACTATTATCAGAGCAGTCTAGAAGCTCGGCGTGAAACTGTAGCGAGTGCGACATTAAAGGGGCGATGCAACAACTTTTGCACTTTGCGCAAATATCTCTTAAAACGAATCCCTGACGTTAAGACCAATGAAACACGCGTTCGTTTTTCACCCCACGCCCAACAGAAGTTCCAGAAAAAAAGAAAAACGAGCACCGTTCACCCCTTCAACTCGCAGCCAGAATAAGCGGCCACGTAATTTGGAGCCGATTATATGCCGCCAATGTTGATCATAGCCACGCGCTGGGGTTGGAAAAGCACAGGACACGTGCTGAGTTTTATACATTGTTATGGCTCGGCTATTGTCGTCGCTGCAGCGATTGGACACGGGCCATTACCCGAATGCATGTCGAGGCATCGATTGTCACAAGCCCAGATCGAATGCGTACGCAGTCTTCGCGTCCACTGTGTGAGCAACATTTGAATATTGTCACCGCCAAGTTCGATGACGCATTCCCGGGGATCGTACTGTTGCCATTGTACCCACAGCTCCGTCATCGAATTTCGCGAAGGAGCAAAAGGCGGCTTTGCAAAGAGAGACTAAACGAAAAGCTCCGCTTTCATCCTCTGAATTCCGCTGCGACGAAGACGCTCCTTGGTCAGTGCTGTTGTGTTCAAGTATTCTTGGGTCCCACTAGTGCCAGGAAGCTGGTGTAAAGCAAGAAATATTCCTACCCAATGTCGTTCACAGCCCCTTTAAGATAAGGCGGGTTCAAAGTTAAGCAAACCGGGTAACCATTCTCTGAACTTTCGCTATGCCTATTCGCGTCTCCAGCTCGACGCTCGCCCTCCCGCGGCGGAAACGGGAAGCGCTCTAGTGAGGGTCCCCCGATTCTCCTGCTCAGCGGGCACGGCGGAACTGCTAGCGATCATGGCTCGCGAAATGTCATTTCCTAATGCAAACAACACTCGCTCTTCACTGTCCTAACGCACTGCTGCAACCGGTATGGAATTGTACCTTGCTAGAGAGTTTTAGTATTGTGCATAAAATGCGCATAGAAGCAAATGCAAACGGGGTGCGTTTGCGTTAGAGTTGCGTGCTCCACGTTGTGCGTGCGCCTCATCGCCATGCGCCATCCAAGACCGCAATTTTGGGCTCCGCGCACGCGCAGTGTGGAACACGCAAAGCTAACGCAAACACACAGCGCTTGCGTTCGCTCGTATACGCAATACTAACACTCACTGCAAACGTGCTGCAGTAAGCAGACGTGCAAGCAAGTGGGCGTTCCTTCGAACTGGAAAGGACGAGAGAGGCAAAACGGCGGTGCGTAAAAATAAAAGTAACTAAATGTTATGAAAAAAATATTAATTAAAAAGATTGTTTTTATTTTTTTTATTTTTAGGCACTTGGTTTCGAAGGATATTAGCGGTGATTCTGGACATTTTGCCTATTGTCAAAAGTCGCGACTTTGATGTCAAAATATACCTTATTTTGCATGGATTTCTCACATTATCTGTTTTGTTTTTATTGATTTTAGACTTTTTTTTTCATTTTATTACTTGGTACTTCAAAATTCTGCAATTGGCACCAGTGATGATAATTAGCACACTTTTGATTGTCATATTTGTTCATGAGTTTGAAATTAGATCATAAGCAACAAATTATAGTAAAGCTTGAAAAATTACGTATTGAAATATCTGTATTTTAATACTATTATTATTAATACAAATCGCGGCAATGTATACGCCCAATTAACTTCAAGATCACGAAAATACGCCATATCTAACCATAATTGTCTTTCCAGAAAGGAATAATTTTGTTCTCTTTTTAGCGTATGAAAAACCCTGACATCGTTATCAGAAAAGAGAAAGAGTCAAACACAGGATGTAATATAAAGTCCTGTGCGTCACGCGTGGCTATGAAGAACACACACACACACACTTCGGCTCTCTGACTCGGACTCCCTTTTTTGGGTTGTTGCAGTGAGAACAGCTTTTATTAATTTATACGCTTTGTGGACGCATTGTAAAAACTGGGACTATTTTCTTATTCTTTTGCTGGGAATAAGGTTAAACCAATTAATCATCTAAATACCACAAACCCCATTGAAAGGCTCGCAGTTCATTATTTCTCATCACAATTATCTGAGCGAAAAAAGGCAACGAGAACGCACAACTATCAGCACTGATTTTGCAACAACTACCACAACTATAAATATCAGCCTGGATCAAACATGCATGTCATGAAATAACGTTTCCGCGAACAACTTCTCTAACTAAATAATAACGATGTGAGATACATCTTGAGTTATGAAAGAATCAGAAATTAAGACCTATATTGAGAAACTAAATCCAAAGATGGAGGTTAGTTTCGGTTTCGCTTTAGAATTATCTTGCGCATCTTTGCGTAAATATTACGCTAAACACCGTTTTCGTTTTCAGGGTAAAGATGTGACCTGCGCTCGCAACACCCTAGCTTCCTCGTATTACCAGAGATAATTTGCGCCGCTCAGTAAAGCCAGCACACTAGACAGGCTCAACAGCCGGCACGCATCTCTGACCCTCATTATAACCGCCATTTTGAAAAATGAGTGGGGCCACATTTAGTTAGTTGCAGTCGCGAATAGATCGAGACGCGCGTACCTAAACCGGCCTATTACAGAGTCACGAGATGTGAACTCCGCGCATGCGTAATTTGTAA